ACAAAGAATGCGGCAGCTTTTTCACCAAACTTTGCGTCTTTAGATTTTACTCGCTGCCACGCACGCGTTTCCAATTCTTTATCCGCTTTATGACGTTCGTCTAACGATTTGTTTTGCGAATAGGCAATGTCGTGTACCTTACACGCAGCGTCCAAAGGATTCACCCCGCTATCGCCTCGGTTCAAGCGTTTTTCCAATTTTGTACCGGGACCGCAAAACTGGTAACCCGGAATGTGTACTTCAAAAGGTAACTTGTTAATAAGCGTGTTAACGAGACCACTTCCGGACGCGAAGCATAACATACTAATTAAAGGAAATTGCTTGTGTCGTATATATATATACGAGGTGTCTCGAATAAACATTGTAGTCATGCGGGTGGTGCAGCAGAAACTCAAGCTCCCCATCGATAATTTAGATTTGGTTTGCGGAGATGGTTTCTTTAACAAAAGCAAACACGGTCAACTGCTACCCAATTCATTTAGGGCGGTGTTTTGCGGACCTAGCGGTTGCGGCAAAACCAACACCATGTTAGCGCTACTCTTTAACCCCAACGGGGCAAGTTTCGAAAATGTTTACGTCTACTCAAAGTCGTTGTATCAACCAAAATATCAACTGTTATCTCGCGTATTGAGCAATGTCAAAGGAGTTGGATATTATCCCTACAGTGAAAGAGACTCGATAATCGACCCCAGCGATGCGAAAGAGAATTCTCTGTTTATTTTCGACGACGTGGCGTGCGACAAGCAAGATAAAATTCGCGAGTATTTTTCGATGTGCCGACACAAGGCCATCGACGCTATTTATCTCTGTCAGACATACTCCAAGGTACCCAAGCAATTGATACGTGACAATTGCAATATTGTCGCGTTGTTTAAACAGGATGACATGAATTTACGTCACGTTTATGATGAACATGTCTCACCCGACGTTTCATACGACACGTTTAAACAAATTTGTTCCGAGTGCTGGAAAGAAAAGTACGGCTGTTTGATAATTGTCAAAGATTTCGACGTAAAAAACGGACGCTACCGCAAGGGTTTCGATAAATATATAAAAGTCGATATTTAATTGTCGATAGAAACAGTCATGAAGGCGACGTCCGCCGACATCGCCGACGCGGCGCTAAAAAAAAAAGTAAACGAGTTGTCTAGATCTATTCGAAAGAAGTATTTAACATTAAAATTGGGTAAGAGCGAAGAGGATGCGTCAATTCGGAAGCTTTTCAAACCCGTCAGCGAGCCGCTAGAACGTATAGCAAAAATAAAGCTATCACCGTCACCGGCAGAAATAAAAACTGAACGTCGAGGTGTCAAGCGGGAACACAAAAAGGAACCGAACGAAGAAACAAAAAATAAGGTTAACGTATCATTTTTGCCTATGGAAGAAATTCAGGAAACGCCGGATCCCAATAAGAGCGTTGAGATGCAAAATATCGATGAGGAGGAAGATGATGTGTTTGACACATCGAGCGTGGCCAACGCATCCCTTCAATCATACCTGGAACAATATCCAGAAATTTCCCATTCATATATTCAAAATTTATGGGTAAAATCGCCCGACACCGATATTGTTTACGGACCCGTTTACGACAAAATATCATCCAAATGGTTTCTCGGCAATAAATCGCTGGATTTTCATCAAGGATCTGGCGATATTATTGTAGACGGCGAGAGATATTCCGGTACCCGCGGCTTGTATAATTTGGTGTTTTTGAAAGATCCCATAGCATACACAAAAGACGATTTGGCACAATATAAAAAAATAATGGAGGCTACCCAGGTGCACAGGGACGCGATCGGACGTTTGAAAGGCGCATCGACTGTACCAAAATATACCAAGGTCATCCGACCCTTAATAAAATCTCAGTCGCGTTCGTACTCGTACAGCGGTCAAGGTTATAATATGCGTTATAATGACGCTCCTACTGAATATGTATACTGGGACGACGTCAATGAACTCGTAGAGCGTCTGAAATTACTAATCGCGTCGAAACACGCAGGCAACACGTCTCATGATAACGAAATAGTTTCAATCGTTGAAGAGCTAAAAGAATCAGGTTTTATACGTTAGTTTAACGATGAGTCTGGACAAGTTTGGACGTTCTAGCGCGCTGCGACGACCCTTCACTAATACTGTGATTAGAAGCGCCCTCGACTATATGCCAGACGGAAACGTCAATATGAACAATTTAAAAATTTGCAATGTCCAAACGCCTAGCGACGACGGTGACGTGGCTAACAAAAAATATGTGGATGAGACAAGTAATTTATTAAAAATTGCATTGAGAAAGATTATTGGACAGAAACTCGAAGCGTACACGAAAAGATTACAAATTGAAGACAAAACTAAATTCTCGCGTCTTGAAGAACAACTGAAAATGAGTAGCACTACACTCGAAAATGAAATTATGCAGTTTCGCGAAGTTTTCCACCAAAAGCTAAGCGAAATGAGCGCAAAGAAAGATTTGGAAAAGCACATGACAAAAGTCGCCGTTTTGTCACAGCAATTTCATGATATTGTAACCAAAATGGAGCGACTTACGAACGAAAATGAGAATATAATGAAGGTATTGAAACAAAGGGTTTTAAATCCTCCATCGCAACCGAACACACATTATGAATAAAGAGAAGGTACAACTGGTTCGAGAACTGCACAAGCCGGCACGCAGAAATTATGCTCGCCGCCGGACTATAATACGAGGGATGGATGACCTGTGGCAAGCGGATCTGGCCCAATTAGATCGCTACAGCAAACAAAACAGAAATTTTAAATTCGTGCTGGTTGTGATAGACTGTTTCTCAAAATATGTATGGTGTCGCCCGTTGAAAACCAAAACCGGGGTCGAAGTCGCCAAGGCGTTTTCCAAAATTCTCAAGGACGGACGGCACCCTCAAAACTTGCAAACGGATCTCGGTAAAGAATTTTACAACGACACGTTTCTGAAACTTGTGGATAAGCATAAAATTAACCACTATAGTACGTATAGCATAAAAAAGGCCTCAATTGTCGAACGGGTGATACGTACCCTCAAAGAGAAATTGTTTCGACATTTTTCTTTACGCGGGACGTACAAATGGATCGATGTGCTCGCCTCTATCGTTGATGAATACAATAACACAAAACATAGAACGACGGGTACGAAACCCATCGATGTGAGTAAGAGCAACGAAAAGAGAATTTTGAAAACCGCGTATAGTAGCATAAAAATATTCGGTCCTCGTAAACTTAAAGTCGGCGACATCGTTAGAATCAGCAAAGTCAAGCACGTTTTCAACAAAGGTTATACACCGAATTGGACCACGGAATTGTTTAAAATTGTTAAAGTACGGGTTACTAACCCCGTAACGTATTTGCTTCAAGATATGCAGGGTAAACCCATAATGGGCGGATTTTATGAAGAAGAATTGCAGAAGACAGTTAACCCGGACTTATATCTCGTCGAAAAGGTGTTGCGCAGACGAGGCAATATGGTTCTCGTGCGCTGGTTGGGATTGGATAAGTCGCACGATTCGTGGGTAGACAACGTAGACGTTTTGAAATAAATTTAGTCTCGATTTAGAAGTTCTGACATAAATACGTGTATATGATGGCTCAAGAGAAAATTGTGACATCCAACGAATTGTATAATTTATTGGAAAATTTCGAGTTGCAATTTCCTTCATCAGAAGTGCTCCCGTCCAGCTTCGTTCCTGTAGAGCAACAAACCAAAAAATCTGCGACCAAACGAAAACAAAGTGCGTCGGTCGTATCCCGCAAGAAGAAGAAGAAAACTACCACAAGTGAAGCGTTTGCAGCTCCAACGTCATCCGCTGATTGGCTCGAAGTGTTCACGGACGGTAGAGAAAAAAGTGTCATTTGTGAGGCATTCAATTTAAAAAGAAACTTGGCGTCTCAGTTGTCGGGATTAGAGTGCAATATCAACGAAATTGAAACACAAATTGCGCTTTTTAATACAGACTTGCAAGTGGCGCGGATGCAAGCTCAAGAGTGCAAAAGAAAACTAGAACAATTTAATAATTTAGCATTTAACGAAATTGTAAAATAGTAATAATGTATATAATAAATAAATTATACAATTACAAACTTCTGTGTAATTATTATGCGGTGTTGTGGTGGTGGTAAAAAAGAAAATAGCGTCTAAATATATACATGTTTATTCTTGTTGCAATACAATGGAATACAATCAATACATAAAAGTCTTATCTACAGTTACATATGTTATAATAAAACCACAGTATTAATAGTTCAATGGACTATCAGAAAAGCGTAACTTTTTTCCATATTTCCTCTCATCGTGAAGCATTAAATTACATTCATCTTCAGTTTCTACAGTGAACAAAACTTCTTCAAAGCAGCTTTGACACCAAAATTGTTTATCGTGATATACATCATTCAAATTATTTATATCCAGCTGTAAATGATAGTGATCCAATAAAAGTCTAAAATTTTTCTTTTTAAATTTTTTAACTAGTTGAAATATAAAGTGACAAGATTTACAAACTAAAATTTCCGAATATTTTATCCTGTAATAACTGACCCATAAACAGTAAGCGGATTCTCCGTCAAAATCAATGGTTGGAGTTGCCAAAATGCTATTTCTGTAAGACGATCCAAATCTCTTATTCAACAGAATGAATTCTAAATTTAATAAAGAATTGCCATCAGACTGGAGCGCTAATTGTTTAAGGTACTTCCATCTATATTTCGAATAATATTTAAATATTAGTATCGTTAGTTTCCAAGGCAAAGGTGACTCAAGCAAAAAATCAGCACTACACCTAATATTTTCGCAAATTGTTATAATACAAAGGCTTTCTAATGTAAGTTGTTTGACCATAATCTGTAACAAAAATATATTAAAAAATAATTACGGCACTTTATAATGTCCCCACGGAAGCGTTTCATATGAATTCGGCAAAAGATAACGTTTATCGTCTAAAGGACTCAAGGCAACTTTTGTTTGTTCGATGCTAAATACATTGTGAGTGTATGAACGAATGGTTCGTTGAGTGGCGTACTTTTCCCTAAAATTTGTTAAGCATTCTACGTAGTCATCAAATGAAATTTTATTTTTTACAATATTGTACTGAATACCCTTTGACTTTTTAACTACCGAACCCGTTAAAATTTTGAAAGTATACATTTTCGACCTTAACCCCGCATAATGACTAATGATGGTGCCATTAGTCTCATCCTTCATCAACCCCAAAACCTTTTTGTTGATTTGCGGTATATTATAGGGATTGTCATTAGGATAATCAGACGTGTCAAATTTTTGTTAAATCGGCCTTAATAACGCTTTCATATGCGTCATAACATTTGATATTATAAATGAAACTGTCCGTATCCATGTATTGAATTTTACATTTTTCGGGACCCAAATTTGGAAGCATGTAATTATAATGAAACTCGTACATGGTCGTTTTCGACAAATCCAATATGGACATTCCAATATAAAGTGGCTTATTAAAGCAAAGTTCCGATTTTTTTAATTCTATAAGCAACAAATTGTTATCAAGTATGGTTCTACTGTGAAATCTAGGACTAGAAATTAAATTTTTCGCACCGTAGCGACCATCCCACGCTTTAACAAATTTAACAATACGATGCTTGCGAATGTTTTCCATTGTTTTACCGTAAGCGGCATTATTAAACAATTTGTATAAATTTATACCAAATTTTGTCTTTGCTTGGGTTCTTAATTTATTATTATGATCGATATAACATTTCAACCAACGAGATTGGTTAAATTTTAATATTTTGTGAATTTTCTTTAGTACGAGACCGTTTTTGAGAGCCTGTTTTAAATTGCGATAGTGTATGACGTATTTTTCTTTATTATACAAAGTAGTCATTAGTTTTGGTAACTTTGAATTGGGGGGCACTCGATGTTCGGCACAAAATGGAAAATCTCTATGTGTGTCATGTAATTTCTGCGGGTATTCCAGGTCTACCTCTAGGATATATCCTTGGGAAGATTCATCTGGAATGTTCATGACAGTAAATGAATCAATCTCTTGATGAGACATCCAGTCGAATCCTCCGTAAGGAAGAGGCTCGCACATGGCCTTGCCATAGAGGTTATTGACGTCAAAGTACATGATATAGGAATCATCCCTGGATGAATCGTAGTTGGGCATATATTTATTGTTGGCCTCCGCATATCTACCAACACACACCGAAATTCCACCTCGTATAGCCCGCTCGATAATCATAATTTGGTCAATGTCGCACAACGAAGGATGATCCGTTACCCATTTCAAATTTATTAATGTTAATCTCTAAATAAATAATATTATTTAAAGCCCACCCGGAATCACGTTCCTGAAACTCTGACATTTGATTTAAAATTTTATCTTGCACATTTTCAACAAACCAATCATTCAATTCTGTTCCTAAATCAACTACAGCATTTCCGGTACTCAGATATTTAACATCAACTTCGCCTTGGACATCATTTTTTGCCTTAATAAATTCACCGCAAAATGTGGTATTTACTTTCAGCAATAAAAATTTCTTTAAAATTTGACTAATTTTTTGTTGAAATATTGGACGAGAATCGTTTAAAAATTGAATTAAATCTTTATGAAGTAAATTAATTATGACACCAGTCTGAACTCTTCCCTGGAAACACGACGCTACCGATTCCCATACAACCATTTCATTTGTGTTTGTCTCGCGGCTACTACTTTGTAATCCCAATCCAAAATGCTTATGTTGATAATTAAGAATAATTTTTCTAATAGCTTTCAGATGTTGAATTGTAGTTTGTAATTTTCTTTTTAACCCAATAGATAAATCCTTTTCGTTAGAAACGATTTGGTTGCAAGATTCAATATTTTTACTTAGTCTCCTAAGCCACACATCACTATCTCTAAGAGTGAACTTGTCGGAAATATGCTTTTTTAATTTTTGTAAGGTTAAAATTAAGATTTGCGCTCTATGAATGATCTGCTTTACGCGCATCGTGGTTTATTAAATATATAACAGTAAATAAGACTTACCCTGTATAATATGTTGATTAATTTTGAATTATTTTGAATTTCTTTAAAGAGTTGGGCTTTCCAATATCTTTGGATCCCTCGTAGACCAGTTTGTACTGCCCCGACGCAAAGTGTTCTAGTCTCGGACGGAAAGCTTCTGTCACGCGAGTAGGAAGAAATACTACGGAATTTTCTAATTGCAGCAACACGGAATTGCCAAATTTTGTATTAACAATTTTGGCTCTAGTAATTTTAAACGGAACGCCTATCGGCAATTCATGCAGTTTGACAATCGGCTGCTCAAAATCACCTTCTGCAAGACAGGTTTGATTCAGTTGACTTAAGTCCATCTATAAATTATTATTAATTATTTTATCTCAAAATAAAAAAAATAAAAAAAACTTACGCTTAAGATTGGCTGCTATTCTATTTGCGGTTACGGGTTGAGAGTACTAAGATGATCTTTAGGACCTTTATAAAATAATAACAAATGTTAAAGAATTAAAATAAAACAATAAAAAAGGTACTTACTGCTTTTTTGTACGAACACCAAACCACTAAGTTAGCTTCCACGTTGCACGAATAATACCAAAAACAACTACTGACAAAACAGAGAAAAATGAGATGTATTTATACGGTGCGAGAATACTTTCTAAAAGTTAACAAACGAAGACACCTCCACATGCGTTGCAACAAATTTTTCCCATTACGTTAATCCCACGGAGCAAATATAAAGGGGGCAATTAATTATTATTCTCAACAAGCAAAACAACTCGACATTTAGACTCGGCGCGTTATGAAATTCCACATCCCATACGGAGATTGTAAAAAATGAAAGCAAGTTGGCCTTGATCTTTTGCGGCAACATACGTTCGTCCAACGTCCGAAGCGGTTGCGTTCCGTGTGAAAGCGTGTTGACCCTGAGACTCCTATCTGCACGGTTGTCTGGCGACAACATCGCGTCTATTCAAATCGGCGTTGGTGCTTGTGGGTTGAAGACCTTTCGACTTTTAATTCAACCATGGAAGGAGTGCATGTGTATAAATACGTTGCATGTGTATTATAGACTATATTCAGTGCAATGAATACAGAAGTGCGATGTCCATTTCCCTACGACCCTACAACTGGTAAGTTTTATATTTTAATTACCTTTATACAGTGCGCGTCTTTTCTTGTGGGTTTCAGTTTGGGTTATCACTTTTTTGGTTAGTTTCTACCTGTTTTTAAAATATGATACTCATCTTTTTTACGTTGCATAATAACCGATTTAAATTGAGTGTTTTTAATATCTTTTAAATGACAGTGAATGGAAAAGGGAATTTTGGCTTTTAAAAAATAAACAATTTTTAAATTTGTTTCAAAAATGTGCGTTTTATGGGGAAAACGCGAAATATGTTTTATTTTTTGTACTAAAAAATTGCAGTTTGCCTTTTT